ACTCGCTGCGCGTTTTTATTCTATCACGCCTTTAGATCGCTGCAAGCACGAAAAAGCGTATGAACATGTAGAGGAAATCTTGAAACATCAGATTAATATTTCAAACTTGTCGTCTTTTTTCAAACGGAGGAACATTCCAAATTCAATAATAAAGATTGCGCGCTACATGCTAATAGCACCAGCGCGATCGATTGGTCGCTTATCGATTCACAGCTAGTACATACACTTGCCGACAAGCAAATGCGCAGCGCATGCGAAACTCCACCTTATTTTCCCTTCTACACTGTAGCGAAAAGTTCTTTCCAGAGAATAAACACAACGTTGGAATCGTCGAAACTTACTCTATCGAATGATTACTCATAATTCAAGGGAACAGCTCTGTCCTGCGAGAAATATGCGTGTGTGAAACATAAGTCTTTCCTTCTTGCTACAGTGTTTCAAGAAGGACTTCTTAGAAAGTAGAGAGATTCCTGAATTGTCCGAGATTTAAGCTATCAAACGACCGCTAGTGGTTCAAGGAAAAAGTGTTGTCCAAAGAATTTTAAGCGCAATAATGATAAAAGAGCGCGACGCGAATGGGACACAAATTTTATTTTGAATGCTACAGCGTGATAGAAAGGTCTTTTCCGGAAACGAGCATGTACAGCACCGCTCCAAGAATTAAGCTTCCGGATGATTACTAACATTATTCTTATGAAAAAATTTTGCCCAACGAGAGGGACGGTTTTTTTCATTTCGTCCCGTCTAACGGGAAAGTACTACTAACAATCTAGATAGTCCAGACGGACGATACCTTCTCTATAAATTCCTTGCTTCCCGACTTCGCGATTGTTCCAAGACACTCGAGAAGATCCTTGCGATCCATACCGATCCCCGTGTCTTCAAACGTAATTAGACGATTAGCCTGTATATGATATATCCTAATTACTAAAGAATTGCAAAATAGAAGAAATAAAGGGATTTAGTAGATCACCTGATCAGTTGTAATACGGATTTCACTTGGACCCTCTGCCACCTCTCCACTCAGCTCGGCGCATCTTCTCTTCTCGAGAGCATCCGATGCATTCGAAATGAGTTCCCGGATAAAAACCTAGAAGAAACTCATTACATTGCCCAAGTGATGTTCAATGAGTAATAAACAGTTATGGTAAATTCATTTTTCTTTATAAAACTCTCTCTCTTCCCGGAGGTGTCTAGCTCGTTACGATTAACCCTTCGGGAACCGCCGCTGATAGCAAGCGGCGACGCGTTGCTCGCTCGCGCGGCAGTCTCAGGCGGGCAGCATCTACAGGTCGATCGCACCACCAGATGCTGCCTGCCTGCCTTGCCCCAAGACGCGATGTCGCCATTACAGTAGCTGAGTGAGGTACGACGTCGCGCGGCGTGCTGCGCTACGTAGCAAACTGTATCCAAACGGCTTAGGGTTAAAGATTAAATACAAGAAATCTTATAGAAATCCATTTTACACATCAAGATAGGATGTCGATTTGCTTTCATGGGCTCTTAGGCACCTCTTCCTCCCTATTGATTGTTTGAACAAATTCCTCAGCAAATGAAATGGTGTTATTTCTGGTGGCTCCTTCGTGCTTAGTGATTGGTTCGCTAAGGTTAGAGAAGTCCCGAATATGAAAAACTGGAATTATTCTTATTCAACCTCTTTTAGCAGCGGTATGATGTTACAAATATATATTCAATACTATAGAGTGATATGTATAATTTTGAACCTCAGACGGGAATCGAACCAACATTCCACCCTTCCCCGGGTACGTGCTATCCAGATGCACTACCGAGGTTTCTGTTGAGCAACCACTCTTCTTGCGATAAAAGATATCCGTCTGTCAATACGTTGTATCGCAGGAAGAATTATAGCTGAACAGAAGTCTTGGTAGTGTAATTTATTAGCACGCGCCCACGGAAAGGGTGAATGCGAGTTCCACTGCCGTCTGACGTCGAAGTTTTGCATGCGCAACGTCATTACTTATGGAACCTCTTATACCTTACATATTACAGATTTACATGGAAAAAAAAGGTCATATACTTTTCAAAATGAGCTCTTAGCCTCCTCTTTCTCCCTCCAATCCCCCTTGTTTGAACAGATGCGTCGCTACACGAAAAGGCGGAGCAAACATATGTTGCTGCTACTGCTTATTTCACATTTTATTGATCCGTATTCACAGCAGTTTCTTCACTGTGCGGACGCCAGCAGCTCTAGCATTCAATCGTTTTTTCGTCTTCATTCTGGACGTCGTAAAATACTCATAAGGAGCGTCTCCTCGCGATCTCGAGGATAGCCGGGCTGTGGCGTTCCATAGGGCGGGCGTTCGTTGGTGACTGCCGGAGAGTGTTGGGGAGCGGGGTTCGACCCCCCGCGCACTGCGACAGGCATCACAACTGCTCGGTCACGGAGCCCTTGCTACTTTTTACGACAATGTAGGTTAACAAAAGCAGGTTGACAAAGCCGCAAGATCTTAGGTTCTGTGGGAAATGGTACATTCTCTTCAGAATCAATGACTGTCGTTTCCTAAATGACGACGACCTCTCCCATATCAGCAGTGGGAACGGCTCTGATAAAAGCGAAGTCGCCGGGTCGACAGCTATCGATTTCAAGGAGAAACATACCAACATACGTGGATTTCGTTCAGGATGGTTACATTTTTCGTGAGGGTTCCTGGATTGTAGCGGCAATATAAGTGGATTATACCTACCTCGCTGTGTGAATACAACGACTTGGCGACGATGTCCATGAGATTTCGCGTTTCGGCTTGGAATTCATGGCGCTCGGCAGCGCTCATAGAGGAGCGGATCGAGTTGAAACGATGATAGACACCAGAAGGAGCAGTGTTCTTCGGCGGAACACCAAGTGGTGAACCCGTTGTTGCTATAGCTGCTGCCAAGTGACGACGACCACCACCACCAGCACGGAAAAACGACACGACCCAAAGCATTTCGAGACACCCACATTGTCCGCAGTCGTCTCCTGCAAGCTGATATCCATGGGTTACGAGTTTTTTATGAGTGAATAATTGACTGAGAGACAGTAAAATTGAAGACTCAAAGCACTGGGCGGTAAATGACATTGTAGAAGCCCAGAGTAGTCAGAACAGATCAGCTTTTGAGTTGTCGAATGGATCACAAATGATATGAGCGGCCTTTGTAGAGAGTTGTGATTCCGTCTGATTTCAATCGGTTTTTTTCGGTTGTGAGGGAAAAAATGAAAAACCGATCTCACTCGCTGGAGAGGAACTTTCCATGAGAGTGTTGATAACCATTCGAAAGCTGAGACTTCAGACTACAGACCCACGTCGCCGGTTTTTCGAAAAAGACTTCTACTGACGTTGCTACAGGAGGAGATTTCTTGCGTTGCAGACCGCATATTCTCACCGGAGAGAGCTCTTTCCTCCGACTACTAGTAATCGCTCGATAGCGTAATCGTTTCTGATTCCAACAATGTGCTTATGCCCTGCAATAGTCGTTTCTCTGCAACGCAAGAGGTAAATAAATTGAATTCCCACCTGCGATCGATGTCGTCTTTGGCCAACTCACGTGCGGCTGGCTAAGGCAGCCACGTTTGATAACGACATGACCATTGATTTTTCGGGCATATGAACGCGAAGAGAAATATCGCGTCAGCAGTTCACGTGGCCGCCTCGCGTACACGCACGTGAATTGGTTGAAGAGACCATTGATTACAGAAGGGAACTCGGCATAATTTACCTGCTGGAGCTCAGAGAAACGTTTTTTTTTCAGGAGATAAGCACAGAGCTGGAATCAGATTGGATTGCGCTATCGAATGATTACTAATAGTTGAGAAAAAGAGCTCTGTCCGGTGAGAAATAAGCGGTCTGCAACGCAAGAAATCTCCTCCTGTAGCTATGTCAAAAAAGTCTTTTCCAAAAACCGGCGACGTGGGGCTGTAGCCTGAAGTCTCAGCTTTCGATTGGTTACTAACAATCCTATGAAAAGTCCCTCTCCAGCAAATGAGATCGGTTTTTCGTTCACCCTCTTGTAACTGAATTGACCGTCTAACCGCTAAGAGACCGTGGACCCACGGCCTCTGCGTCTCCAACCCTCGAGCGCTGCGTCTAGCAATGACGTCTAACCCTCGAAGTGCTGCGTCTAACAATGGCACGCCGAAGGTTGGGCACCGTTGCTCGACGCAGCACGCGGGAGATCAAGACGCAGGAGCGTGGGCCCACGGAACTGTAAGAGTAGATAGTTTTTTCGACTGATTTTTTGAATAAAGACTTACGGGAAGGTTAGGCTTAGGCTTACGCGAAATTGATGGGCCCACAACTCTCCACTAGCGTCAGATGAACCATCTCTTTCTAATATCTATAGTTCACTAAAAAATGTTTACTCAACTCAGATATCGCAACTTTACGAAGAAAAAGGGGAAAACAGCAGCGTAAAAATTAAGTAACACAACTTTGCATAATCCAATTAAATAATTCCGACGGTAATTGCAAAGTGGTGCAATTACACACATGACGTCGATTCGTCGTTAAAAGTGATGCAAGCGGTCGGCATTGAAAACGCAAGGAATTCGGGCATATATCGTAGAAAGAGTGGTGGTAAGATAGGCCTCGATGACGCGATTGGTTAAGCACGTGCCCCGAGAGGGCGCGTTGTGGGATCGGATCCCGCCTGATGTCGCAGTTTTGCATATCACTTAACATCATTTGGTTATATCCGTAACTTCGCACCATCGCTAAGAAATGATTAAATAACAAGTGTTCTTATCGTCTAAGATGTGTAGATTAGGCTAAACATGTAGTGTAGTGGATAGCACTAACCCCCGGACAGAGTGAGACGCGGGTCCGAATCCCGGCTGAGGTTCAGAGTTCTATATATCGCTCAGCATTGTTGAGAATGTAATGTGGAGATCCGACGGTTTATCAACAAATACAATAGAAAATTTGGGATCGATATCCACTAAATCTTGGCATGGAGGTGAAGAACTGCAGCACGAACCAAGAGAATTGAGTGATTAACAAAGATTCGACAACAGACGGGAGTTGAACCCGCGTTTTCACCCATAGCGGAGGCGTGCGCTACCACTACACCACAGAGGCATCGTTTCGCTACAACTCGTTCCTCAGTGTCTCTATCAGTCATCAACTTAATAACAGGTTTGATCGGGTATACGGTATCACTATAGGACCTAGTAAAGCTCACAGCCATTATGATACGTGATACTCAAGATTTCTTGTGTTTTTACTGCTTTTACGCAGCTAAGAGAACTGTGTGCTAAGAAAAAATTGGTGGCGTTGTGGTAGCAAGCGTCCCCGAGATAGGTGAAACGCGGGTTCAACTCCCGTCTGAGGTCGTATTTTTTGCTCACCACTCAATTCTCTTGGGCATAAACGAAGCATCATAACACTCCAAATAAGCAGTAAAAGCATAATAAATCTTGAGCATTACACAAACTATCTTTTTAACTTGCAAGATGTTTTTCACGTCTTAAAGGGCAGTTAAGTTTTTTTAATGTCTTTTTCATCTATTGCTCAAGGTTTTCTAGAAGAGGATAGTTCGTGATCTATCTGAAATAGACAACTTTCAACACTTTCACTAGGGCGGACTTGTTCGCCGGGCTGGCGGGCGGTTCAGACGGCTACGAAGAGGCGCTGGCATGTGGCGGCGTGCACTTCGGTGATATCATATGGAAATATTTTATCGTCAGTAAAGTCGCGTCACCAGAGACAAAGCTAATTCAAGAACTCAAATCAACGGAATAAGCGCTAAATTTTTATCTTGGGTCGCGCCAGTCTTCGTAAGCCATCCGAACAGCGTGAGCACGTATGTATCGTTTTGCTACAAGCCATGCAAAGCGCTTAATCCTGTTGTAACGATAATTAACATATATGGCCGAACCAAGATAGAAAAAGGTGTATCACCTGTATCACCTGTCGTCCGTTTGATCGTGAAGTGACTCGAGCAGGCACCATCAACGCTATCATTTTTCCCTAGTCCATGCAAGAGTAGGCTAGTGGGTGCTCATTGCTCTAGGGATTCACTGAGCATCATATCTTTTATCCAAGCTTTTCGCGTACAAATCGGACCATCGGATCGCTCTTCCTCCTGTATTGCGCTTGTTATTTCGAGGAATTCATGCTCTCAAACGCTCCCCAAGCCGTTAGTTTTCTCCCTCAACTCTGGAGCTAGGTCGTTCATTGTGTGAATTTCACGACCTAGGTAGACGTAACTGGGGCATTCGGAGATTGTCGTTCCGTTGAGCGTAAATGGAGCTTTCAACACCCCTCCGCTCCTCATAAACATCGTTTTCTTTATATTTAGTCGTTGGCCAATTTTTCCACAGGCGTTATTGAAATCGGTCAACATTCGTTCCACTTCGCTGATGTTTGGTCTTATGAGGACGATATCAACAGCAAAGCGTAGATCGTTTAATTGTCGACCATCGATTTTAACTTCCATATTGTCCTATTCTAGTGTTCACATGACGTTTTGGAGGGTGGCAGTGAATAAATTTAGCGCTATTGTAGAGCCCCTCATACGCCGATACTACTATCGTTATGAAATGGCCGGCTTGGTTGTCCAATCCTCTATGACTGCTTCTGCTTCACTGAATCAAGGGCTTTCTTCAAATTGATGAAAGTGAGACAGAGCGGTCTCCTATTGTGAGACGTTGAGAAGTTTTGTGATTGGTGGATGTTGTTTATGATACAACATTCTTCTCGAAACCCTACTTACTCGCGTGGTTGACCTTCGTACAGTGTTCTGTCAATACCGTATAGAAAGAGTTGAGACGGACAGCAAGCAGATTAGGCGACAATTGCCTATGTCCTGAAGATCCGTTTTTTGAACAACAACACGATCTTGCTGATTTACCGTTGATTCGGAGCCTTGCATTCTGATAGGTGAAGAGGAAAGAGCCGAGCCGGGTGTTGATGAGAACTCGCGGGAAGTTCTTCGAGTGTTCTGGTCCTGTCCTGTCTGGTCCAGATGTTCTATTCTTCACCCGATATAGTGTATGGGATTTTGATAGGGAGAACTAGTGGAACGACAAATTCATCTTCTCTCAGTTCATATGACGGCAAGAAGACATGGCCATTGTAAAGATCCAAATAGTAATCGTGGATGATTTCTCCATTGCCCTTCTGGAAGCAGTAACTGTCTCGTCAGACTGTTAGAGCGCAATTTCTTGGCCTTGTAAATGGTGAAGCTTTGTGGGCTTTGCGAATGCTCTTCCCGGCTTCTTCAGCTTCTGCCATGACTGCTGCTGGTCTCTTTTCAAGATCTTCTTTTATGGTTGTATGATCGATTCTTGAAAAAGCCGTTTTATCACGCTGTAGTCGAAAGAAAAGAATTATGTTTCACACTCGCGTGTTTCTCGCAGAACTAAGTCTTTCCTCAAATTGTGAGTAACCATTCCATAGCGTAAGTTTTGACAATTTGAAGGCTGTGTTTATTTTCCGGAAAAATCGTTTTACTGCTCGTCGACTAGCGCGTGGACGGGTATCTACTGGCCAAGGATTTGATAAGGCTTTCAGCGATCGATCGATCGATCAATGGCGCTGGCGCGAGTCACATGTAGAGTTCAAACTTTGTTTTTTTTTAATTTGGGTTTTTTTCTCCGCTTCAAGAAAGCTCCAGATGACTCGTATGACGCTGGTACTGCAAGATTTTTTCTACACGCTCTCATGCTTTTCGCGGTTCACATTGTGGTTAGGTTGAGAGTTAAGTTCTGTCGTATTTTTTACTGCTTCTAGTTTCCTGCAAAAAATTTATTTCTTCGTCTTCTTCATTTCGTTCTATTCCATTTCAGTTCGTGATCTCGAGATTCCAGTTACGTCAACCGTTTCATTTTTTGTAACTATATAAAGTTTTCTTTTATTCCTGAATGAATATTTCAAAACCTAGTCCTGTACGCCTCTTGAACGTTGCGCTTATGTGATTCGCCACCGGGGCGGCACAAAACTAAGTAGAGCACTTAACCACAAGGTGGTTGATTTTCGAACTACACAAAGACGGATCAAAAAGCTTCGTGAAGGCGACACCAAAACGTCGAAATCGGCTGCGTTAGTTTTATCAAAGCAGCGTCAAGAAAAGGCTCCTACACGTATTGCGCGTCTGACATTGCAAAACATTGGAGAATTAGGATAGAAATGTCTAATCAATGAACCGTGAAGCCGAGATGCTGCTCCAGGTGATAACCATCTTTTCAGGCCTCTGCAACATTCCTTTTCAGGAAAACGCTTTGCCAAAGTCGATGTTTTGATAAAACACCTGTATTCATCTAAAGTAAAGCAGAATTATACAGTTACGAAAATAAATTGACTCACATGTTTAGAATCTCGAGATCACAAGCTTTCAAATGACGTCAAACAAGACAAAAAGATTAAAAAAATGTATTGTAAACAATTAAGAATATCAGAAAAATACGTCATCACTATTTTATAAATGAAATAGCCCTCAACTGCTGACCAAACTTCATTTTGATGCCTCACACATAGAAGATAATACTGCTTTCAGAAAACCCTTGATAAATTTTCGAGAACTGAAATACTTGAGGAGTCTTGAACTTGATGCGTCTAGAGACTACCGTATCATTATGAGAGTATATAAAACTTTGATGAAGTATCGTTTTCCTTCAAGTTTCATTTTGGATTCATATCTTCGAAAACTTGGAAGGAAGCTCCTAGATCTAAAGTTCTGGAGCCGTGAATGGTAGAAAGAGACTTGGTAGTACAATGTGGTACACCACATTGGCTTTCTGGTTAAAATTTCGATTGCTCATTTGTTTCGGTTTGCGAAATGCAGATCTCCACTGGGTAAGACTTCTACGGACTTCAAAAATCAAACCTCATACTTTTAATTAAAAAATTTGCACGTGATCGGTAAATACTTGCAAAATTCATTTGTTCTTTTCTTGATACAGTACACTACGAGCTGGAGTTTGTCTGACCCAGTCGAAACGGCTAATTGATTTTTAGTCTCTTTAGAATAGTCTAAGACACGATGAGGCGTGGGATGAATGTTGACACTCTCATGACGAGTGACGCCGAAAGGTGTCAGATCGACGTTGCAGGAGTGGTCGGTATGACACTCATAGCTGTCATATACTTCCTAGTGTATTATTTTGATGCGCAAAAGTTTTCTGTTGACTTCATGTAATGAATCTCTAGCTTGTCAACCGGAAATGCTTAAATATTGGGGGATGTTGTACTGATAAATTTCTATTTTTTGTGAAAGGCCATTATTTTGAAGAGAGTATGCGACCTAGAGAGTGTGATCAGTGGAAGAGAGTAGAAAGACCTTTGCTTTCTTTCACTAAAATCGTGTACAGTTTCATTTTTGCTCATATACATGAAAAATGTGAATCTGTTGTATGTGCAGTATGTTCCACCTCGAACCCTTCTGTTAAAAAGAATGGAGCATTAAGTAAGAAATAACACTATGAAAAGGAGCACGATTTAGCATTAGCGGGCAGCTCCGATTTCATCAACGTGGTACTGTTGCCGAAAATGGAATAAGGGTTGATATAGATCATTGAATCTATAACATATACACAATGACGCGTAGCTTTTTCTTCAACATTGCGGATTGAAAGAGTCGCGCCATACGCTGACTCCCTAAGAACATTTACATCGCTTTTACTTGCTCCATCATACCAGTTCGTCTCATCAAGGCGTGACTTGGCAAAACTCAAATCACATTTCTCAAACGCGATTTTGATGTGGACCGACGTCGGTACTACATTAGCGATCGGTAATCAGCGGAAGCTGGGAGAATTATTTTCTTGAGACCATCTCTCTATTAGTCGGTTAGGGTTTTGGTCTTGTTGGAAACACAATTTTGAGACTACAAAAAGGTAAACTTTGAAGGATAAGTTCTTGAAGCAAATCGATTGGCGCATTTACCGAAAAGTACACATGGTTGTAAAAGGTCCAAATGCCATAAACGCTATAAGGGAATAAAGTATAAAACTCTCGGCGTTGACCAATCCCTGAGGGATGCGCCATGGATTCGTCTTCGATTTTTAACTTCGTTTGAGGTGGTTGAATGCATATTTCGCCGAAACAATGACTCGCGGTGACCTCCCGCTGAATCGAGTCAGTG